AATAATAATAATAATAATAATCAAGTGAGTAGGCTCTGAAGATGGCGAACATGGAAAACTCGGTTACCTGATTTGGAAAGAAAAACGGTTAACGTCACTGTTATTGTTATGGTGGTAGTGATTATTTGTATTAGAAGCTATATAATGAGCTCTTAGAGGTGCTCATGTAGCTACCTCACAGGTAGTTATTATGACTATTCTGTTTTCCAGTGAAGAAACGAATGAGGCAGCAAAGATCTGTCACCTTCCCACGTTCACAAACGTAGAAAGCAAGAGTCCAGGTATTCAGGTCACTGTGACCCTAATGTCTTTGCCCTTAATCATGATTTCTTACACTTTAACTCCAGGAGCATTTTAAGTAAAAGAATAAAGATGATCTAAGTACAAATGAAAACAGCATACTTATAGAGAACATTGTTCCATAAACACATTAACTTATTGTATTTAAGAAAGGAAAAAATTACTTACTTTGAAATAGCATTGTTCATAAATAGAATCTGTAATATAGGTCCATCTAACTTAGTATTGTTCACCAATATTCCACTAAAACAGAAGTTAGAACATATTCTTAGAAGGTATTTAAGTAAACTTGCATACATATATATAAACACATAAATTTTTTACATTTTCTTTTCTTTTTTGAGACAGGTTCTCACTCTGTCCCTCATGCTGGAGATATCTTGGATCACTGCAACTTCAGCCTCCTGGAATGAAGCAATCCCACCTCAGCTTCTCAAGTAGCTGGGACCACAGGCACATACCACCATGCCCAGCAAATTTTTATGTTTTGTAGAGAACAGGGTTTTGCCATGCTGGCCGGACTAGTCTCGAATTCCTAAGCTCAAGGGATCCACTTGCCTCGGCCTCCCCAAGTGCTGGGATTACAGCTGTGAACCATCTCCCCTAGACTTATAATTCTTAAGTACCAAAGATCATTTCGTATTTTACACATATTGCAGTTTTCTCAAAAAAATTATACATTTTCACCAATTCTACCTACTTTAATAATAATTTTATACAGGGTCATCACTTAACATTTAAAAAAAATGTTTAGCCAGGCGCGGTGGCTCACGCCTATAATCCCAGCACTTTGGGAGGCTGAGGCGGGTGGATCACGAGGTCAAGAGATCGAGACCATCCTGGTCAACAAGGTGAAACCCCGTCTCTGCTAAAAATACAAAAATTAGCTGGGCATGATTGGTGCGTGCCTGTAGTACCAGCTACTCGGGAGGCTGAGGCAGGAGAATTGCTTGAACCCAGGAGGCGGAGGTTGCGGTGAGCCAAGATC